CCACCTAGCGCTCCAGCAGCGTGACGCCCAACTCGCACACTGAAGAATGAGGCGGAGCTCTTGCCTCCGCYTCTAGATATAGCGGCCTGCTTGCCTCTTGGGCGGTGACTTCCAGGCCGCTCGGCCTCCCAAGCAACCGGTACCTCCTTCATTTCGGAGGGAAACATCATTGCAAACTCTGATATTGCCCGTACAGGCTCTAGACTCAGACTGGTTGGACTGCTACCGGCCTAGACCAACCCTACCGCTACTGGACTCTAAAAATGCCAACTTTGTCTTTTTCTGCTCGGCCTCCAGTACCTCTCACGCCAACTGCAGTGGGGTGCAGTATCGGCCTACCGGCCTACTTGAGTGTTTTTCCGCTACCCCAAGGGCCTCTGGGCCGCTAGCTTCGCCACTTGAGTGTTTTTCCCTGCTACAACCCTCAATGCCATGGCCACAAGTAAGAACCGGCCCTACGGGCCTACCAAACAAGCAAGTACCCTTGCGGGTCCCACACACACTGACACCAACAAGCACTCAGACAGGCATGCAGGTCACAAACACGCACACATAGACAGACTTAGAAAACACAGCAGAATGCAGGAATCTCAGCAAGGCATCCATTCCATCGGCAGAACTTCAGAAATCAGCAGTGTTCTCAGTTTGTGTTTTGACGGGTCATTACACTACCCCCCCCTCAAGAGCGAGGTCCCTTTGAGCGAGTAACTCAATCAGAGTCCTTGCATAGTGCATCATAGGCGTAGATAGCAAAGAGAGATCGGGCGTGTTCCGTAGGAGTCAGGGCAGCAGTGATTTTGGTTGCTATTCAGCACTTATCAACCGTTCGTAGGCATTCACAACACGCGGTGCACTCTGTAGTAAGTCCTTCCTAGCAATCCAATAGAAGTCGTCCAACGGATGATACAGAAAATGTACTTTGTACTGTTTGTTTCTTCCCTTCCCACTGTGTTCGACAATCCTATCAACCTCATGTCCGCCATTGATTGCGCGGGGAATCATTGACTCTCGGTATTTGAAAGTCTCAGGTGATTCATACGGAAACAACTTTGACGCATGAAAGACTGGGTATATGCGCAAATGTGCAGGCACATCAATCGTGTAGGAAGGACCGAAGGAATCACTCCCTACCTGGTTCAAGACCTACCACGGACCGTAGTACTGAGGAAGAAGCTTTCGTGATACACCTTCTTCTTCAGAAAACTCAAACATTTTGACCCAGACATAACTTCCCACTGTGAATGGTGCAGGCTGGCGCTTCTTCTTAGCATGTTTAATCATGGCACTGCGTCGCCTTTCCATAGCTGCGACAGCAACCTTAAGCAACCGATCAAACTTAGCGCTGTAGCCTGGCTGGCCAGGTGTCAGACCAGGAGCCTGTTCAGGGAACAGGTAGGATAGAGGATTGCGAATTTTCCATCCAAGATGCAGCCGGTTAGGCGTCATCCCGGTGGAGGAGTGGATGGAGTTGTTGTACAACCCTTGCACGATCGGCAATTCCTCATCCCAAGAGTTCTGATCAGACACAATTAGGGCTCGAAGAAGTTGGATCACAGTCTGCTTGATCTCCTCGGCCAGTCCATTGGCTTCGGGATGTCGACGAGATGTCATCTTGAGTTTCATGTCATAAACCTGGGAGGTGAAGTCCTTCCATTCTGCGCTTATGAACCTAGTGTCCCGGTCACTCACAAGAGTTTTCGGGGGCCCACACTGCAGAATGTATCTTTTGTGAAACTCTTTGATCACAAGGTCAGTTGGGGCATGAGATGGTAGTGAGATCAGATTCAAAAACTTCGAAAAACGATCGACAATCACCATAACTTGGGAATAACCGTTTCTGCTCTTCTTCCCCATGTCCGTGAAGTCAATAGAAACAGACTCTCTCGGACCGTCAGGAATAGGAAGAGGGTGCAACAGCCCATAAGGCTTCTGCCGAGACGGTTTAATGCATTGACAAACTTCACACTCAACCACAAACCATTGCGCCATTCTTTTCATACCAGGCCACACAAACTTTTCCAACAGATTCCCGTATGTCTTCTCAACACCGAAATGTCCACTCCGGCCATGAGCCAAATCCAAGAAGTGAGTGATGATTGGCTCATGGTTGGGTACACACAACCGGTCGTGCTTACCGTAGCGTCGGAAGAGAAGGCCCTTGCATTCATGGAAATCAGGCTGACTACTAGGGTCAGCCCGAATCTGCTCAAGGATGGGATTGAGTTCCGGATCCTTGGCAGTGTGCTCAATGAGTTCCCTCTGAAAGTTCTTGCGAAGATCGTAGGAACCCACTAGGCAAGTCATGTACTCAGGGTGGCGAGACAAAGCATCCGCAACACGATTATAGCAGCCTTTCTTGTGTTAGAGTTCAAAATCATACACATCAATCTCATGCAGCCAGCGGGTCAGCGTAGTTGATGGGTTTATCTGTGTCTGAATCCACTTCAAAGTCTCATGATCCGAGAACACTTTGAAATGGCGACCCAAGAGGTAGTGTTTTTAATGATTTAGTGCCTCTCTCAAGACATAGAGCTCTCTCATGTAAGTGGAGGCAGCTACCTTGTGGCTGGGCATGCGTTTGCTATAGTATTCCAGCGGACGTAAGCCATCACCATCATCTTGCTGCAACACTGCACCAATCCCATACAAACTTGCATCCGTGGTTACTACGAATGTAAGCTTGGGATCTGCAATGCGGAGCACCGGATGACTCACCAAAGCCTCCTTTAGTGCTTCGAAGGTTGTCGTGCACTCCTCATCCCATGTGTAGGACACATTCTTGCTGGTTAGTCTAGACAATGGACGGGCAATGATAGAAAATTTAGGCAGACCAAGAAAAGAACGCAACTCGCGGACATTCGCAGGTTGGGGCCACTTTTGGATGACCTCCACCTTGGTTGCCTCGGGCTCTAGGCCTGCAGCAGACAACCGATGTCCAAGGTAGATGACGCTGTCCCTCCCAAACTCAGATTTCTCCAAGTTGAGATGGAGTTGCGCGTCCTTGAGGATCTGCATCAGTTCCTCAAGGTGTCTCATGTGCTCCCCCATTGATTTGTTGAAGATAAGAATGTCATACAGATATACAACAACAAATCGGTTGATCTGATTGGGAAACACTTTGTCCATGAGACTTTGGAAGGTGGTTGGTGCATTCGTGAGACCGAAGGGCATAACTGTAAACTCGTACAGTCCATCGCGAGTTTTGAATGCAGTTTTGTGTTGGTCGGCAGGTTCGACTTCAATCTGGTGATAACCTGATTTGAGGTCGATCTTGCTGAAGACCTTGCACTCACCTGCAGCGTCAAGCAAGTCATCAATACGTGGCAAAGGGTATGCATTCTTCCTTGTGATTCTATTCAATCCGTGATACACATCGGATGTTTGCCTCCTTTCTTAGGGACAAACAACACTGGTGCACCAAATTTAGACTCACTGGGTTTGATCCATCCCTTCCCAATCATCTCATCAATCTGTCGTCGCAACTCCTCCAATTCTCCTGAGCCCATTCGATAGACACAGCCTTTTGGAGGGGTGTTACCTTCAATCAACTCGATTTTGTGTCGGACCGGTCGCACGGGAACTCCATGCGGTTCGACCAAGACCTCAGGGAACCGGTTGAGAAGGTTGCGGATTTCCAGTGGGATTTCCGGAGGGGGATCATCACTCTCAAGAGCCAACATACCAGATTGCATAGGTGCAGCCAAAACAACAGAATTAGAAGTAGAGCCATTTGGACTAGAGATGGATTTAGTAGAGGTAGAAGTAGTTGCCTCCGAGGTGGAAACAACATGCAAAGTAGAATCATTATGTACAACAAAAATAGAACGCACATGAGTAGGCCTAACAAAGGCTATATACATTTGCTCATCGGTTTTGCGTCTACGCCACTTTTTGCAGAACTGCATTGCATTGAGAAAGGTTACTTGGGACTCGTGCGTCTCATCCAAGAGGACTGGACGCTCGATTCCCATGGCATCGTTGACCATGAATTGTGAGTCCTTCCACGTGGTTCTTTCACACTGGGCCTGCAACCAGCCCAAGCCAATAACCACATCGAAGGGGCACTGATCAAGGACATAGAAGTTCAATTCATGTGTGATTGTGCGGTCAGCGTCAAAGGTAGTGCGCACACCTTTCACTGCATGCGTAGATGTGACAACCTCTTGGTTGCCTACTTGGGTCCGACAAGGATTCTGCAAAGTCACTTGCTTCATCCCCAAGCGTGCCTTACGAATGTCGTGCGGTGAGAAGTAGTTGGCGGTTGCACCACAATCAGTCAACGCACGGATGTAACGACCATTAATATAGAGTTTGAAGAAGATCAACTTCGTCCTCCCTTGTGCGCATTCTTGCTTCATGTGAGCCCAGCGCGTCAACAGAGCATGAAAGTCAATCTCTTCCGACTCTACCCAAGGCTCCTTGTATAGGATGTGTAACTTTTCAGCCTTGGAATCAGCATCAGATGGGGTTTCAGGAGAGGTTTGCTGAGTGGGATCAGAATCCAAAGAAGAATTTGTACTTACATGTTCATCCTCTCCATCCGTAGAGTATGCTGATGATGCCTCTACCCCCGTTGCTGGTTTCTCTGCTGCAATCTGAAACAGTGTTGGACTGAATGTCCCGGTTTGGTGCAATGCAGTCAAACTCCTCTCTTCACCCTGTTCTTCCACTCACTTTCACTAATCCGGAGATCTACCCATGGTTTTGTGGCAGAATCTTCCGGTTTTGATGAAATCTTTGCTCCCTTGGGAAGAAGAATAGTGTTAGTGTTGTTCTTCATTGTGGTCCTCGGTCCCTTACTCTTAAAGGCAGTCTTTTTAAAGGAATTCATAAATTCATCGTCATTTATACACTCAGACTCATGGGCTGACAAAGAGCAAGATGCCCCGCAGTCTTGCTCTTGATCGTCATCAAGAGAAGATTCTTCTACGAGGGTCTCCTCGTCAGCCTCAAGCAGATCATGCGCTGCAAAACGGTTGCTGCCTGGAAACCGTTTGCGGCCAGTGGCCTTTTTGCCACTTGATCCACCCGGGAGGTCTTGTGCCTCCAGCTTGACTAAGTCCCGCATGAGGGTAAGCCAATCTGTATATCCGCTGAGCCCGAGCCCTAGGCGATCTTTCAGAGTAGAGGGAACCGTACCTTTTATCACATCCAAGCAAGACTGCGCAGTCATCTCCAGATCCGGAGTAGCAAAGAGTTTACTGACGTACTGCTGCAGACTGTGCATGGTGCCTGTCCACTTGCTGTGCTTGAGCTTGTCAAGCTTGAGTCTTGCTTTAGCTGCAGCATGTGGATCAGCATATTGCTTGATCAAGAGATCCTCAAGTACGGTAGTAGGCGTAGCCTTTAGCCATTTGTTCAGGTCTATTCTCTTATAGCCTGATTGGACAGCTTGGGTTTCTAGGAAACCCCGCACGACGGGCTCCACATTGGTCCCCAGGATAGACGACTGAGTGGACGACGGTGTCCCCAATACATCAAAGTAGGACCGCATAGAGCTGATCCAAGACTCGACGTCGTCCTTTCCGTCATACTTGGACGGAATCTGCGCCGCCTTCCTGTCGATGTAAGCAAAGCTGCCGCCTGGCCCAGCTATTGCTGGGTCCGGGCCCGGGGCTGCAACAGTTCCAAGAGTCCCTGCACCACCACTTGCCGCTGCAGCAGCAGCGGGGTCTGGACTTACTGCAGATCCGCTTTGGCTGTTAACCACACTCAAAGAAGAAGAAGAAGTAGAAGGAGAAGAAGTAGACGTAGTCAGAGGGCCAAAATTGGACTGACACGCAATATTGGAGGCAGGGTAGGTGAGTGAAGAGACGATTTGAGCCTATTGTGAACTAGCAAACTGTTGCAGCTGATCGCGGTGTTGCTGCGCCATCTTGGTCATGTCTTCGCGCAACTCCTTGAGCTGCTTAAACACCTGTGCGAGTTGGCCAGTATGGTCCTCAGCAACCCGGACTCCTGCTAAGGCTCTGAGGAGGGGAACCATTTTCTCTTCTACCTCCTCATCATTAAGAGCGGACACGGTGCTAAGACGACCTCGTGAGCCTGCACCTTATCCCTTCTCTCTCTCTCTTTCTCTTCCTCCTCCGTCTTCAAGGCTTTCTCGTACTAGAACTGATACTGCGGTTTTTCTGCCTCAGGGGCAGCATCCATCTGCAGTTTCCAATCTGCTGCAGATGCCATGATGGAGGATGAGGGTGTCAGCAAGACTCTCAAGAGGGGTCCGTACTTCCTCTCAGCTTTGCGGCGAACACTCCTCTTCCCTCTCCTCACTCCCTCAAGAGCAACACTCAATAACTTTTCTCTTCTCTCTCTCTCTCTCGTTTGCGACCGTGTAGACGTAGGCATTAATGAACCCAATGAAAGAAACAACTTGAAATCATTCAGAAGACAAGGTAGAACTCCTAGCTGGAGCGGCAATGCATTTGGACTGGAGAGCAGTCAAAACAGCAAAAAGAAAAGATCAGAGAGATCTGATCCAGCCACACAGTCTGGACTGACTACGTATGGGGTCGTCCCAAGCCTAGCCAGCCTCAGCTCCGTGAAAACACAGCAAATCAGATTTAAGATGTACAACGAAATGCAAGAGAGAATTGAGTGGTGTATAAGGTGCGAGTCAGGCGGCGGATTGCGTGGTAAAGTCTGATAAAACGTCCCTGTGGAGATCCCCTCCGCAGCGAGTGTCCTGGTCCGAAAGCAAAAAGTCCGTATCCCAATCAGATAGAGCAAGGTAACTGACGTCAACAGATTTGGCCTGAGGGGCCCTTCTTGTTTGGGCCCGGTCCCACCGAGTCCCAAATGGTCCCAGTGGAGTCAGAACCGGGTCCTAACCAACAAGAGTTCCACAGAGACCTACTCTGTCCCTAGTGAATTGAAAAACAAAAATTTGCCCCAGAAAGAACCTGTAGACTACCGTCGTTCAGAATGGAATAAACAAAGCACTGTAGAGAGATTTCGCATGGCAAACAAGATACTTCATTCATTCACTCATCAAGTGAGTAGGCAGTTCACACACCTCACACACAATCAAGACCATGGAGGATGGAAGAAGAACCCAGAGAACCCCAACAGGCAGTCAACTCCATGCACACACACCTGGGCACCCTGGTGGCACGACACTTACCTGAGTGGCCGGGCTCTTGAGATGAAAAGAACTCACCCCACTCTCACATAGTCCTCCTGACCCAATTAGCATCCTCTACACTAGTGTCCTATCATCTAGGAGGGTCAACATCTACCCCAAAGTACAAAGCCGGATCCCCCGTCRATGTTGAAGATCAAAGCAGCAACTTGCAGTCCGTAGGTGCAGATATGGCTGCCACCCTCAAGCTCGCCTACTTGAGGGGAACCCTAAAGTCACTCCTCGTCTTCCCTGAAGTCCAGATTCAAGTTGTAGGTGCCCTTCAGTGTCGCCTCTCTCAAATTGCATCACGAAGTCCCACCTTGTGTCTCGCCACCATAAACATGCACTCAAGCGACCTGGCCGGGTCTAGTGTCGACCCTACACGGCCCTGCCAGGTGGGAGCAGCTTCCCTTTACCACGCTGCCCCACTTAACCCTAACTTCCAGCCCTAACCCTAAGTGGTAGCCCTTACCACTAGGGTTAGGGTTATGGCAGCAAAGTCAACTCTCTCCAACAAGTAGAATCCGCTCTGATACCAATGTTACGATTCTGGCCACTTTTGAAGTCCACAATCATCAGAAAGTACAATGTTGTCCAACTGCGAAAAGAAATGAATGAACTTGAGCCCAATGCCGTCCAATTGCAAAAGAAATGAAAGAACTTGAGAGGAGAGAGAGGGAAAGAAGAAGAAGAAGAATTAAGGAAGAAGAAAGAGATGATGTACTCCAGC